AGTATCCTTCCCCTGCACACCCACCAAGCCATGCCCACAGAACCGGTAGAAAATTTTTTTGAATCCCACCACTGTTGCAAAGCAGTCCAAAAATAGGCTTAAAAATGGGCCAAAACCAGGCCTAAAACGGGACAAAAAGGGCCCAAAAGGGCCCCAAACAAACTGAAAAACGAGCTAAAAATGGGCCCACGACGGGCCTAAATAACAGGCCGAATATGGCTTTAAAAGGGCTGGAAAATGGGTCCAAAATGGGATGAAAAACAGATCCAAAACATGTTGGATAATGGGCTGGAAATGACTGGAAAACATGCCGAAAATCGGGTGAAAGCAGGCTGAAAAATCAGCTGAACATGGCCAAAAAACGAGCCCAAAACAGATTAAAAAATGGGCTCAAAACAGGCCGAAAAAGGCTGAAATAAGAGCCCAAAACAGGCTTTAAACAGGCTGAAAAATGGGCTCCAAACAGGCCCCAAAACAAGCTGAAAATAGGCTAAAACAAGCCCAAATCAGGCCAAAAATTGTCCAAAAAGGGCCAAAAAAGGGTTCAAAACAGGCTGAAAAACGAGCTCAAAATGGGTCCATAACAGGCCAAAAATAACAGGCCGAATATGGCTTTAAAAGGGCTGGAAAATAGGTCCAGAAGGCTGGAAAACAAGCCCAAAACAGCTTGAAAAATGGGTCAAATATAGCTAGAAAACATGCCCCCCACAACCCCAAAACAGGCTGAAAAATGGATGCAAAACAAGCCCAAAACAACTTAAAAATGGCCCCAAAACAGGCCAAAAAACAGGGCTGAAATGGCCAAAAAGGGGCCAAAAATGGCTGAAAAATGCTAAACAGGCCCAAAACAGGCCAAAATGGTTGAAATAGGAGCCCAAATCAGGCTGAAAACAGGCTCCAAATGGGCCCATTTTGGGCCGTCCCAGAGAACTACAAAACCAAACTGGCCCTCAAAGAAATCCAGTTTGACACCGTTCCATTCAATGACTTGTCCCAGTTTACGACCTTCCTTGTTGCAGTCGTTAAGTGATTTTCTGTACATGTTACATCAGCTGGTCAAATTGTTGTTAAGTAAATCAGGCTTCCCCCTGGACTTGGCTTGTGGGAAGGTTGCCAAAGGGGGACTGTGTGACTCTCTGGTGATGCTGCCACCGTCATAATTATGAGTCGGTTGCCGAGTATCTAAATTTTAATTGCGTGACCAGAGAAATGCTGCAGTGGTCATAAGTGTGAAAAATGGTCATAAGTCTTTAAGAAACGACAGGACACAAGAGGGGATCTTATCACCCTGGTATATGGCGACCGTCGTAAAGATGAAATGATGGCCAAGTGTTTTATTTTTGATCATGTTGTCACAGAAAGGCTTCAGCGGTCGCAAGTGTGAAAAATGGTCACAAGTCTCTTTTTTTCAGTACCATCAGGTCGCAAAAGGGACCAAATGTGACCCCAGGATACTGTGACGGTCATAAATATGAATCAATGGCCAAGTACCTGAATTTTGATCCTGTGACGTGGGGGGATGCTCACAGCAGTCGTCTGGAAAACGCTTGTTTCAGTGCCATAACTTCGGTCACAAAACAAACTGTTGTAAATTGAGGACTCTCCAGGTTTATTTTTGAAAAATAGTAATTTTTAAGGCTTTTTCTTCCAACGATTGGTAGGATCATTTTTCCAGAGAGAAAAATATTACCCAATAATTTATTTTATATTTTTTAAAGAGTTCCAGCTTTAATATTTGCAGGAGAAAAAGCTTAAGAGATGGAAAAAGCCAAGTTTTTGCCCCGTCAGAAATCCATTTCCCAAAGGTTATTAATGAATAAGTGAGCCTGCTTAATGTTTTTTTATATATAGCTTTGTGATCACACACACCCCCCGCGCCCCCCGGCCCTTTCCCGGCCCTTCTGGAACGGCCACCCGCACCCACCCACCCACCCATCCCGTGCCAAGAAGAGAAAGCGAAAGAGGAACGATTCAGGGCCGAAAAATTCCAAATATGCCTATCGAAACGAGGAGCGAAACGTACGAAGGCGACAGCAGCCTTGACGCGGCATGTGAATCCATCAGTCCGAATAGAGGTGGGAGGGGGCCTTGGAGGTCATCTAGTCCAACCCCCTGCTTGAACAGGAGTCCTTTACGGAATGACAGTCGGGGGGGGGGTCTCAGAGGCCACCTAGTCCGACCTCCCTCCCCACATACACAGAATAAAATCACCGTAAGGGCGGGGGCGGGGGGGGAAGAGGTTTGTCTAGGGGGTGATCCGAGAGAAGGGCGGCATGGGAGAGGCGCGTGGGCGGCGTGCCAGCGGTCGCTTGGGCAAGGCCCCGGCCGAACCTCTTGCCCCATTCCGGAGGGAAGCAGGAAGAGAGGCCTGCCTGGCGCCTTCGGGGCCCCGGCCCTCCTCCCAGGGTTCCCAGCTGGAATGGCAGAGCAGGTTTGGCCGGTGATCGAGGGAGGGAGCTTCCTCTGCCCGGGGCTGCCTTCCAAAGGCTCCTGGGACACCTCTGGGGGATGGAGTCCCTTTATTTTTATTTCAAATTATTTTCTCTGATACTACTCCTATCTTATTCTAATTTTTGAATTCTATTTTATACCATTTTTCTCTTTTTTATAGTACATTTAATACTAATTTTTATTTTATTCTATTTCATACTATTTTGTTATCATAGTATTCTATTTATTTACTCTATTTTATTTTATTCTATACTATATTTTATTTTTTATAGTATTCTATTTTTTACTTTATTTTATTCTATTTTATACTACATTTTATTTGTATAGTATTCTTTTTTTACACTTATTTCATTTTATTCTTTTTTTTATTCTATTTTATACTTTTTTTGTAGTATTTTATTTTTATAAGATTTTTTTATTTTTTTATTCTATAAACAGTACATAAAATTGAAAATAATTACATAAAATTTAAACTAAAATAAATAGGCATGGAATAAAAAAATGAAAAAAGAAAGGAATAATATGGAACGGAACGGAATGCAAGATATTTTTAAATAAAAAATCATTACATAAAACATTAAAGTCATTATATAAAACTTAAAACAATTACATAAACTTTTAAATAAAACACTAAAATTTAAAAAAACTGGAACCAAAGGAAATAAAATAAAATGGAACACAATGGAATAAAAGACAAAAATTCCCCCACAAAAAAGAAATGGACCAGCATGAAATAAAATAAAATTTAAAGTAAAACCAAACAAGATAAAATAAAAATAGTACAAAATGAAGAGGCGTGCCTTTGAAATAGTGGGCAATTTATTTGCACAAGATTATTCTTTTTTCTTCACCCTTTTCGTCCTTTCCCAATCTTTCCTCACCCTCCTTCATACAAACTTATTTACAAAGACCTTAAAAAGCAGATTATTTCCCCTCCATTGGCAGGTGGGGCTGTGCAACATGGTCAGAGCAGCCTGACAAATGAGGACTACATAAACCATACACACCCCTTGGAGCCAGGACCTGAACCATGCCGGGGGTGGGGTGGGGGGAAGAGCTTCGTGTGACCCACAAACGGTCAGTTGGCGAGACTGAGCCCACCTCTCTTGCATCGCCAAAAACAAACCAACATTGCTGGCTTAAATAAACCAAGATAGTGTGGTGGCTTTTTCCTGAGTCTGATGCAGCCGTTGAATGCGAAATGTGGCAAAATGGAAGCTTATACAATATTATTCTTCCTGGTTTAGCATTACACAAAAGGTGTAAATTACACACACAAAAGCAAGATTTCCAAGCTGGCGTTCTTAACCAGTTTGTGAGAAACTAGAGTTAACTTGCATATGGATCCTGGATTAGCTTAACCACCATTGGAGCGTGTCTGAATTGTAGCTAGAGTAACTGTGACCTCTGGTTTAGTATTACACAAATTGTGGACACATACACAACCGAAGCCAGATTTCCAGCCTTCCATCCTGTTAGACTTAACCAGAGTTTGTAACAAACTACAGTTTGCTTGCATGTTAGTTTCATGTTTCTTCTGAATTAGCTTATAGTTGGAGCTTGTCTGAATTGCAGTTAAGAATAGCAACCTCTGGTTTAGCGTTACACAAAATGTGGACAAATACCTGCTTCTCCCCACCCCCCAAAAGACCAAGATTTCCAAGCTAGCATATCCAAGCTTCAGCCTCCGATGTTAGTTTATACCATGGATTCCTTCAAAATCGTTCAATTACCACTTGGTGGGGTGGGGGTTATTTTGCCTTTTTTCTTTTTCCTCAATTGCTTTTTTGGATCCTGAAGGAGGCAGCTTAACCGTGATTGGAGCTTATCTGAATGGCAGCTGAGCGACGATTGTGCAGTAGTTTGACAACGCAGCACATCGGAGAGCCTAGGCTGGCTGTGCGAAACACCAGGCGCAGCCAATACGGGCGAAGGTCTCTTAGCTTCATGTGATTGTAATTTTTGTATACATATATATTTTATATACATATATACACACACACACACGTAGTCAGATGTATATGTATAGATATATACAAACTATATATATAGTATGTGTGTATGTATTTACATATTATATATACTGTCAGATGAAGTGATATATAGATGTAGTCTTCATCCGAATCCATGTATATATTCATATATCGCTTCATCTGACAGTATGTATGTATGTGTATATATATATACACACACACACACAGATGAATATGTATATAAATAAAATATATGTATGTGTATATGTATATGTACATATGTGTGTGTATATGTATGTATATATATAGCGCTCTCTCTCATACATATATACATACATACATACATATATATATATATACACACACGAAAGCGCAATTTTAAAATTCATTTAAAGACATACCCTTTCTACTTTCCCACCCGGGTTCTAGAAAGCCGGAAAAAAAAAGGCAATCCAGGATTTTTGGCTAGAACGCTACCCTGTCCTGCCTGCGATGAGGGTCCTGCGTTCTCCATCGGGTTACGCAGGACAAATCCAACACCCCACCCCAGCCCATTCCCGCATCCACCCACTCCCAAAAACATTTCTGTCCGTTTTGGACTTTGAAGCCCTCTTCAAAGCTTCTTCAAGCGGCTGTAGTGTTCGCGTTTGCTCTTCTCGCCTGCCCAGGTCCGGCTCCGGGTGCGAAAGGTGCGCAGGTCCTCCTTGAAGTCCTTGTGGTGCATGGGGCGGTAGCTCTGGGGCTCACAGTAGCTCTGGAGGGGGAGAGAGACAGAGAAAGAGAGGGGGGAGAGAGAGAGAGAGAGAGGGAGGGGGAGACAGGGGGGGAGGGAGGGAGAGAGGGGGACAGAAAGACAGAAAGAAGGGGAGAGAGAAAAGAAAGGGAGGGAGGGAGGGAGAGAGAAAGACAGAGAGAGATAGAGACAGAGATAGAGGGAGACAGATGGACAGAGAGAGAGAGAGAGAAGGGGTGGAGGGAGAGAGAGACAGAGAGGGGGAGAGGGAAAAAGACAGAGAGGGAGGGAGATACACAGAGAGAGACATAAATAGAAAGAGGGAGAGAGAGACATAGAAGGAGAGAGGGAAGAGAAAGATACGGAGAGACAGAAAGAAAGAGACAGGGAGAGAGAGACAAAGAGAGAGAGACAGAAAGGCAAGGAGAAGGAGAAAGACACACACACAGAGGGAGAGACAGACAGACGGAGAGACAGAGTGAAAGAGAGAGAGAGAGGGAAAGAGAAAGGAAGAGACAGAGGGAGAGAAAGAGGCACAGAGAAAGGGAGAGAGAGAGAAAGAATGACACACAGAGAAAGAAAGAGAGAGAGAGACAGAGAGGGAGGGAGGGAGAGAAAGAGAACGAATTCAAAACTGGCTTTGGGAGAAACGCTAAACCGGCATCGGCAATCTCCCCCAATGGCAGATTTCGCCGCTATGCCAAACACAGACAAACCATCATGGGCTGTGAGGTGAGGCCATGTAAAAGTTACAGCTGATAGAAGAGAAATACGTGTCACTCGGGACTGAGCTAGTGAGGTCCTTGGTGCTCTCTGAGCTCGGTGGTTTTCTCAGAGACGTCTCGTGGCCCAACTAGGGAACATCATCAGGGTTAGGAGGGAGGGAGGATTGTGGAGAGGAGGAGGAAGAGGAAGGTGATGGCCATGGGTCCTTGGTGCTCTCTTGAGCCTGCTTATTTTCTAGACCTTCCATTACCCAACTAGGGAACATCATCAGTGCTAGAAAGTTGTGGGGGGGGGGGGGGGGGGGAGAGAAGGGTCTCCAGCTTGAGCAGGGGGGTGGACTAGAAGACCTCCTGTGTCCCTTCCTGCCAAGTGATTCAGTGATTGCCTTCTGAATTAGTATCAGCCGCCTCTCGCCTTCCACCGGTTTTCCCCAGCCTCAAATGGCCACCATCAGGGATGGTGCGAACGCCCTCAAATGGTGTGTGTGTGTGTGTGTGTGTGTGTGTGTGTGTGTGTGTGTGTGTGTG